GACTCCAAAATTACAGGGGGGAAAGATCATCACAAAAGAAGAATTTTCTGAAATTTTTAGCTGCTAAATGCCAGAATTAACTGAAATATAAGGTTTCAAAGTTCAGATTAAAATTACCTTATTCTCTCTAATAGTAGTGCACCCTGACCGCTGCCTAAATTGCTCGAAATCTCGAAAAGCGCTTATCAGAACCTATCGATGTGGGGTCGGAAAATGTAGCTGACGATGAGATCTTGCTGGGGGATTTGAGTGTTGAGCTTCTGCGAAAACTTAGAAACCGTAAAATAGTCACCAACTCGGCCACCAACTCGGCCACCAACTCGGTGGCCACCAACTACTATTAGAGAAAATACGGTAACTGCTATTATCCAAAAAGTACGATTAACTATGCAATCCAGAAATAACAAAGCAATTGGAGTTCAATGCTTTTGAAATAATTTATCAAAAAGTTTCTGTGATTTTTCTGAAGTTCAAGTTCAAGTTACTATGCAACCAAGGCGTAACAAAGCGATTACGTTAAGTGTTTCTGACAGATTAAGGTTTCTGTTTTCCTAAATAAATCGCAAACAGTTTTAAGCTATGCAATTTATTAAAAGTAAACGTTTTGTTTTGTTTTGTGTCTTCTATTGAGCCTTTGGTGACAGCTGCTCCCATTGTGCTTTCAACTGAGTGAAATAGTCGTCTTGATTTGCTCCAGTGTACATTTCCTAAAAAGTATTGAATAAGCAAGAATGCTTTTTTTGTTCTTTTTTCTGATCCTATTGTTTTCTTTCATTTTAAGTTAAATATTATTTGCGTAAAATTTCAGATTTGGTCTCTCAATCGTCTCAAAGTCTCAAAGAAACGACCATAATGCGAAAACCGATAATGCAAAGTTTTTTAGAGCTTTGAGACAGCAATAAATACTTAAATCGAAGCCTTCTAGGCGTAGTTTTGCACTTTCTTTCCAAAAAAACACGATTTCAAGATGATTAGAGCACGGCATCAACAAGAAAAACAACGCTGAAAAATTTTGTTTTATTCAAACCCTATTTTGCGCACCCCGAAATGTATCAAAAATTAAAATAATTTTAAAAAGTGAATACACCATCTTATAGAGCTCGTTTTAAGCTTTCAGAATCACTGTAACAGTTCTACTTTACGATGGAAAGTCTCGGAGTCATAGCTCTTCAAAGATGGAGAAAAATTCGAAGGGTGATCATGTCTTGGCCAGTATTTTAGTTGATATACTTAAACAATATAAAATCCCTAAAGCCAAGCAAAAACAGAAAACCCACAGCTTAAAGCTATTTAATAATGAAACCGCTGTTTGACGAAATTTCGTTATCTGTCAAATACAACGATTCCTATTCGATAACCCAAATGTATTAGGGTGTCCGAAATGAAAATACCCTCAACTTCGATTGCAATTTTTTCGGTGTAGCGGCCAGCTTCGCGTCTGATTTTTGTTTTGTTTTAAATTTATATATCTTTTCTAATTCTATGTTTTTATAAAAATTTACTGCTTTACAATTTTGACTTTTTTCGAATGGAAGATCAGAAGTACCGAATTCGGGTGTGCTTGCTCTACGACTTTAAACAAGGAAAAAGTGTCCGGGAGAGCCATAGTTCAATCTTGAAATTTTTTGGGGGAGCTGCTTATTCAGAGGAAGCTTGTAAAAAATGGTTCCAACAATTTAGAAAGAGAGAGACGAAACTCTACAGGATCGAGGACGTGGTCACCTCCCTTCAGCGCTCAACGATGACGATCTTCAAGAAACCATAGAAGATGACGCAACCTTGCCGACTCGGAAAATTGTAACAATGTTTGCTGGAGGCCACACAACAATTGCGGACTATTTACATCGTTTGGGTAAAGCGAATCTCGTCGGAAAATGGGTACCCATCATTAAAAGGGTATTTTCATCCCGGACAACCTAATATTTAATCGTTCATTCATTCAGACTCTTGTTCGGTACGCGATTAAGCTTCGTTTTTTCCCACCCTTCCATTCGCATCTCGCACACGCTTTTCCCCAACGGTATTGGCTTTCACTGGCTCGGGATCAGCGTCTTTTGGCGTTACCCTAAACTTGATCATTTACTCAATAAATCTCTTTTGCCGTACCTTTTCATTTTTGTGTAAATAGCCTTCTTTGCGATCTCAAACATTTGTCGATCACAACAGAAAAGCATAATGGCAAACATGAAATATTGACTGAAAAATTTGTGATAACTTATACTGTGATAAATTTTCACAAAGCCAGCTGCACATTTATGATCATCCCCAAAATGTTCCGTGTTGCCCAAGAGGTGTTTGAGAAGTGCCAATAAAATAGAAGAGAGTAGACAATGTTGTTGATTGCCGTGTGAACGATGTAACACATGGTGACCTGGAAGTTGCACTTTTGAAATATCTTGTTATTCTATCGAAATTCCCACAAACACATTTATTGTCCTGAAATTACCTTCATCACTTTTGCGTTGACTGTAAGCAAATAAGCTTTACTTAACGTGTATCCGGTAGAATGTAACGTTTTTCTTCGCTTCTCGTTCGCTCTTGTCATCAAAACACCGATCTATCAACTCTTGTACTACATTTTTTACCATTCCTACCAATCCAGAAAGCAATGACGCAACAATCTCCGCATTGTTCGAAATGAACCTCGGGTACCAAGATAGAGCTAAAGTTTCTCAGAGCTAGAGTTTCTCAGAGCTAGAGTTTCTCAGAGCTAAAGTCTCTCAGACCTAACCTTTCTCAGAGCTAAAGTTTCTCAAAGCAGAAATCGGAGTACTACCGAAAAAGTAACAACACGTGAGCGCCGCTGAAGCAGTGCATCCAAAAATGATCAGGCCAACGAAAAACGTTCGATAGTGTCGGTGCTCATAGGTGGCAAAGGTGATCGTGGCAATGCTTCTTTCGATCATCACACCAATCAAGCCAGCTGTAATCCGGGCAAATTATAGTCAAGTTTTGGATGAGATTTTTTTTCCCATCGCCAAACCTAGCCAAAGAAACCTAGCCAAAGTAACCTAACCAAACTTGGATCTAGCCAAACTTGGACCTAATCAAACTTGGACCTAGCCAAACTTGGACAAGATTTTTCTTCTACGCATAACTAACGATCCTCATTCTCTCTTGTTCTAGTTTGGCATCTGGTTTTCTGATAATCAAATCTTACTACTAGCTTGTTTAGAATGGATCAGACTTAAATTTGTAAACTTTTCACAAAACAGAGAATCAGCTGGCGACTCACCATTCATAATTGTATAAATGTAAACTCGACCAAAAGAAGCAATTTGAAACAACAAAGGACAAATTTCTGTAGCTGAAAGAGTAGTTTTTTTGAGCTAAAGAGGCTTTTCCAATCACGAACTTTCTTGATAAATTTCACATTGAAGTTCAGGTTGAGCCTCGTAAGCGATCATAACAAAACGGCAGCTTCCATAGAGATACAAGTGATATAGACCGATGTGGATGATTCGTTGCGTGTTGACATGGAAAACCTAATAGTCTTTTCTTTTAACTAGACGTTCTTTTAACTAGACGTATTTTTTTTTATAAGCTGAATGTGAAAAAAAGTGCTATTGGGTTGTCCAGTTATGAATGCGCGTTTTTACTATTTTGTAAATTTCTCAAGATATCGAACAGATGTATATGAGTGTTATATATCATTCGAAAGCTGAACATCTCCTCTACATTTTGGAATAAAAAAGTTTTTGAATTCATGCAACTTTTTGGGAAATTGACTGCACAAAGCGAGAGGTCGTTTTCGAAAAAACCTATTCCAGCTTAGCTATTCCTCAAGTTTTATGGTGTAAAATAACCGCCCAGAGAAGTAAAGGTGCTCTGAAATTGTTATCTAAAACGTTTTGCAAAAACAAAAGCGTTTAAAGACATGTTTAATTTTTGGCGTTTTCTGGAAATGAAAAAACAAACAAGCCAGGCAACTCCTGATTGCCAACTTTGAGGCTCTATAAAAAAGACAAAAAGGTAGCTTTTTTGTCAAAACTAAGAATCGATTGTAGAAAAATATTTTAAATTTTCTGTTAAAAAAGCGTGAGATGATTGCGCATCTGATTGCTGAGCTACACTTAAAATACTGAGTCCGGGCAATTACAGGGTGCATGATAATTATTGACCGCTTACTTATTTAATGTATACCAGGGTTATCGGTGATTTATTTTGCACACACATAATCACACTTTACACATTAAGACCTAGGGAATATTCTATCGTTTGTGAGGATGGGAGGATGTAGGAGACGATTTAGGAGAAGGCTACCCGAGGATGGGAGGATGTAGGAGACGATTTAGGAGAAGGCTACCCGAGGATGGGAGGATGTAGGAGACGATTTAGGAGAAGGCTACCCGAGGATGGGAGGATGTAGGAGACGATTTAGGAGAAGGCTACCCGAGGATGGGAGGATGTAGGAGACGATTTAGGAGAAGGCTACCCGAGGATGGGAGGATGTAGGAGACGATTTAGGAGAAGGCTACCCGAGGATGGGACGATGTAGGAGAAGGCTACCCGAGGATGGGACGATGTAGGAGAAGGCTACCCGAGGATGGGACGATGTAGGAGACGATGTAGGAGATGATGTAGGAGGAGAAGGATACCCGCTTTATATGTGCTTGCGCCTTAGACAAGGCTACCCATTTGGATCCCTGGTTATCCTAAATCCCGAGGGGAAGGGGCCTAGGGGGACCGGTCTTGGGAACCAGTTCACCATATGGATGCGGTTACCTACAGCACTCGGTTCAGGGAAGATATCCCTGACTCATCTCTGCTGGATTCGAACCAGAGACTAACCAAGCCCAACGTTGCTTAACTTGGCAAATCTGACGGGATACCGTGTTTCAACGGGGCGAGGTCGTAGCCCGTCTGTCTGTCTGTTATTACTTTTTGAAATACATTTAATGGCCCTATTACGCTGCACTTTTTTGTTTCATTTTGTTTCATTTCTCTGTTATTAATATTCTTCTCTATAAAAAGACTATCCAATTTTGTATTTTTTTAGAATGGTTGCTCCTCATCTGAAGCGCGGATCAATCGTCGTTCTTCATCATGCCGAGATGACCACAAAAGAGATTTCAACGAAGCTCAATCTTTTGCTAAGGACTGTTCTCCGAGCTGTTAACTTGTTCAAGACAACTGGAAAAATAATTGTTCGAGCTGGACGAGGCTTTCAAAGACGGTCAATAATTATCAAACACCCTGCATTGAACACTCTGTACATACGCAAGTAGAGCCTTTATCGCTAGAAAGGCCATGTATCCGAGGATGAGAGCTCGCCAAAATAACGAAATTAACTGAAAAATGAATGTAAATCAAAATCAGATAATTTCATACATAAGTGATTCCATAAATTTGCATGTAGATTGGTTTGAGGGTCTGAATGGCGAGAATGGCCAGAACAACCATGCCGATTGCAAATGGAAGTTGATACTGAAAGCCCGTTTTTAAGCAGTTTTAGGTTTTTATTGGTATTTTCTGTTTGTTTCTTTGCTTGTTTGTTTGTCTGTTTATTTTGGTTACTTACTCTAGACATCATAGATTTTTTTCAATTCGATTCTTGTTACTAAAAACTATCACTACCTTTTTAGTCGGCAAAATTAGGGTTCACTTTTACTTAATACATTCAGCCAAAATGTTTTTATCTGCAAAATCAATTTGCAAAACTTCTTTAGTACTTTAGGTAACTAGCTAAGCTTTTATGGCAGTGTTTAAAGTCTAACCAAAAAGAGTGGGGCGAGCCCGAGCAGAGCGAAGACCAACTCGATGACATCAAGAGCGATGAATACACAGAAACCATACTGAAACACTGCCACTACGCCGGTTGTGAGCCACTTTTTTTCGTCAAAACCACTTTTTCTGGAGTAGTTTTAGGCGTAGATTCCGAAAAACACAACGAGAGCTTGAGAAAAGCTGTTTTAAGCCGAGTTTTCGAGCTTATGGCAGTGCTTTAGTTTTTGGCTCTAGTTTTTACCTTGGAAAGTGTCCCAATAGTCAAACGGCACAAACGATAGCTTGTGCTCCATATAGTGAAGTACACTATAGAGGAAATGTTGGAGCCCGAAACTCGGCTTAAAACATCTTTTCTCAAGCTCTCGTTGTGTTTTTCGAAATCTACGCATAAAGCCACCCCCAGAAAAAGTGGTTTTGAAGAAAAAAAGTAACTCACAATCGGCGTAGTAGCGAAACACCATTTTAAAATGTAATTTTAGGAGCTTGTCTCAACTTTTTTGGATCATAATTAAGTTAGAACAAACCTTTGCTGTGCATCCGATATCGGTGAAAGAGCCACAGCAACATTTGTATTGATCCTCGCGTATTGGAGGGTTTGGCTTGACGCTTGTCGGCTGCCAACACCAATACGTTGCACCGCTCATCAATGCTGAAACGATATCGAAAATACTAGTTCAACTTTAAATACTTTAAATTACCTAAAGTAGGTAAAGTACAACTTCAGTAGACTTTTCAACTAGAAAACAGGCAATGTTGGCTTTTAAACAAGCAAACAGCCATGTTGGCAAACAGCCATGTTGGCGAACAGCCATTGTTTTAAACAGCCATGTTGGCTTTTTGGCATAAACAAGCAATTCAAACTGAGCACTCAACTTTACAAGCAGTTAACATTTAGAGTTAATTTTCGACGAGCTTCACGGGAAAAATTGATTATTAAATCGTCAAAATGGGGAAGTTCTGCCGCCTTATGACTGTGAAATTTGCAAAATGACTTTTAAGAAAAGAAATTGCGTTCCTTTTTCTCTTTACTTGAATATACAAAAAAAGGTATTTCTCCATCCCAATTTGACCTTGCTTGCTTTTTTTAGACAGACTTCCTCTTTTGCTTTTCCGGGGTTGAAAGGGCATTTACATGACTATGGGATCAATATATCAAGAAATTCAGTTTAAGCAAAAAAAAAACCATTGAAAGAAAAGCCATTGTGCCAAGAAAGAACCCATTGAAAAGCCGAAGATCTCGTTTTTTAAAAAATTTAATAAACTTTTCTTTGCTTCTACAAAACTGCATCTAGCAATCATCTTGAAAGTTTTAGAGATTTTATTAACCCAAACAGACTATGTTGAATTGAAACAAAACCGTACCAGAAGATGTTTAGTCTGATGGGTAATTGCTTTCGGGCTGATCAAAAGAACAAATAACTACTTGAAAGAATAGTGAACAATCATTATTCCCTCCGCGAATAATTCTTTTAAAAAGCGATCAGAGTAAACTCATTTAGAGAAATCGGCTTAGCTTTTGTAACTTCTAAGCCATAAAAAATCTTACAGAGCGGTAAAAATGTTTTGGAAAAGTGTGAAAACAAATATAGACATGGCGATCAGATTTGATTTGATTAAATGCTTTGATTAAACAGCGCTTTATAAAACGTGTTCCCTTTCTCTTTCTACCGTAACCTTGTCTCCAATTTTCAAAATATTCAGTCAAAAAAAAGTTGCGTAAAAAGACAACATAATGACACTACGGAGCAGATTTTATAAAGTGGAAAGTAGGGTAAGAATGGGGCACGATATAATATAACAGGTATAATAGTTTCAGTTGTACCTGTAACATGAGCAAACCCTCAGCTTTGGAGACTTTTATGTCTACGACCACTTTTGTGTACTCCGAAAATAACGACCATCAAAGGAGACGGCAAAGAAGCGGCTGAAAACAGTTTAGTGTAAAGATAGCTAGATCTAAACTGAGTACAAACTCTTGACTAGCCAAAAACACACCCATTTTTCTTAGCTACACTCTTGATTCTAAGTTGAAAAGATAAAAACTAACTGAAATTTTACAAGTAAGTTTACCTAAGCGATATCATCAATTGACAATATTTGGCTGCAGTGGCGAAATCGTAGCCATGAAGAAAAATGTTGGCTTGTTGCCAGAATGTTATTAATACTTCAGGGCAACTTAAAGTTTTTGGTTTTTCTCAAAATTTTCTAGTATCTAACTCTAGTGGAAACGGTTGTTCGTTAACACAAAAAGTTCCGAATGTGTTCGTTATGACGAAGATGAACTTGTTGAGATTCTCAGCGATGAGCAGTAAGCTGGAAACTCTTTTGAGCCTAGTATACACCAACAAGTACACACTAGAGACTTTAGAACTTTAAAACTTTACCCATTACATCCTTGTTTACACCAGAGGACGATTTAGAATAAGAACTTTAAAGGAAGTTGAAGATAATTTAAGATAAGACGATAATTCTAAAAGCCGATTTGCAAAGGATCGCGAGTTTCCCCTGGACTACATTTTCCAACGTTCGTTTTTCAAACAAACAGTTAGCCTTAAGGTACAGTTAGCCAGTTTCCCACGGCTAATTTCTGATTGTGAAGAGAAACTCGTTTTAGCAGGTTTTCTGGCAAGCATACTAAAAAGGTGAACCCTTACAGATCTAGTGAATCATCAGGCTTAAGGCTAACATACCCTTTGATCTTTGATTCAACTTGTGATTTGTAATCTCTCAACAATTTCAAAGAATTCCTTTACCCAAAGCCACACAGCTTTCCCACGGCAATCTTCCCAATTTGTTTCGCTTTTGGGCAAGAAAATCTTGTTGAACTCAAATTTTTTAATGTCTTTTTCGTCAATAATTCATAATGATTTCATCCATTTTCTAATAGTGGCCATCTTTTTAATTGGTAAGTGAAACAGTTAAACTAATAGTTTGTTTTCTTTTTAAAAGTTTTACATTTGCTTGAAAAAAAGTATATTGCAGGTTTAAATTCTTCGTTGACCGTTTTGAGCTTCTTAGTTGGTGGGAAATCGTCAGTGTTGGAAAGGAATTCCGGCTTTAATTTTAGCACACTCAATCTCTTTGACCAAATAACTCATCAAGGCGGAACATGGGTACTGGATTTTTCTTTAGCCTACACATATACCTTAATACCTGCCGTAAATACTGTAATAGTACCCCACCCCCATAATGGCAGTGCGGAGTGTTGCGTAGTCTAGCTTTGAACGAGTTTTTCTCGACACTGGTTTATGCTATTGGGTTGGGGAGAATGAGTCGGCGCCCAACTTTAAAGGGACTTTTTGCACACATAAAGCCTTCTTTAAACATACGTTTGGTTTCATCAAAAGGATCCACTATTTCTCTACAAAATGACTTTTGAGAGATTCCACAAAGCTTTTCTTTCGTGGAGTTTATGAACTTCCAAACGCAGCTGGTTAAAATGGCGAAGAGTCCGACTCATCATTTGAACAGTTTCTTTCACATAAACCTTCTTTGGTGTTTATATAAAAAAGATAGAGCACATTCAATTACTTAAGTTGCCAAATTTGCAGGAAGATCCCACCAATGGTTTTTTCGAGATGACAGTTTGTAGTTTTTGTGAAAAAATGGCTTTTTCTTGAGCGGAGGCGCTGTTTGAATTTTCTTTTAAATGTCATTTTGTAGAGAATTAGTTAACCATTCTACTGATATCAAACGCATATTATTTGACGAAGTCGAATAGAAGTTTTAGACATTTTTTTGATTTTCGGCGCCGACTCATTCTCCCCAACCCAATACAATATGCGCTTAGGTATCAAAAAATAGCCCTGAATTTCAGCTATTTTTTGATACCAAAAACGCATTTTTTGAAAGTACGGGCGCTTTGAAAAAAATGAAATACTAAAAAACTTTTGCGACTACGCGGGAGGTGGGGTACTATTACAGTATTTACTGTAGCTGAAAACCGTTAACTTTTAGGCTCTCGTGCTCAGTCTTTTTCTTTGTCCGTTGGCCGCTTTCTTTTCGGCAACAAACGACCGACTAGCTCCGTCAATACGGTAATTTCTCTACTAGTAGACTAACCGAATAAAGTCTTACCATAAGATAGGCAATAATCTTATAAGTTCTCTAATATACCTGTGTATTAGAGAATCTACTAGTTACTAGTTACGCATATGACTTTTTGTACATAAATCAATCTTTGTACATCAATCTTTTGTACATCAATCAATACTTATATACGCTATAAAATTATCTTCAACTTACTTTAAAGTTCTTATTCTAAATCGTCCTCTGGTGTACACAAGGGTGCAATGGGTAAAGTTTTAAAGTTTTAAGGTCTCTAGTGTGTACTTGTTGGTGTATACTCGGCTCAAAAGAGTTTCCAGCTTACTGCTCATCGCTGAGAATCTCAACAAGTTCATCTTCGTCATAACGAACACACTCGGAACTTTTTGTGTTCACGAACAACCGTTTCCACTAGAGTTAGATACTAGAAAATTTTGAGAAAAACCAAAAACTTTAAGTTGCCCTGAAGTATTAATAACATTCTGGCAACAAGCCAACATTTTTCTTCATGGCTACGATTTCGTCACTGCAGCCAAATATTGTCAATTGATGATATCGCTTAGGTAAACTTACTTGTAAACTTTCAGTTAGTTTTTATCTTTTCAACTTAGAATCAAGAGTGTAGCTAAGAAAAATGGGTGTGTTTTTGGCTAGTCAAGAGTTTGTACTCAGTTTAGATCTAGCTATCTTTACACTAAACTGTTTTCAGCCGCTTCTTTGCCGTCTCCTTTGATGGTCGTTATTTTCGGAGTACACAAAAGTGGTCGTGGGTTCAACTGCTAATACCCAACATTGCGACACTCGGTCTTGTGCTCCTTAATGAGCTAGTGAGAAGCACAGAGACTTGTCTGCACAGTTATATCTACCCGGGAGTCTTGTTGATCATGTGTTCGTTAGATGCGGTGACTGGGCAAAAGATGACACATGTAAGCAAAACATCTTTAGTTGCACGTTTTGTTTAGCTGAGGAAACACGGCAAAGTCTCCAAAGCCGAAGGTCTGCTCATGTTACAGGTACAATTGAAACTAGAGTGTGCTTCTCGCGAGTAAGTAATTACTCGAGTAAAATTTGCATGAGTAGTCTTTACTCGATTAATCGGCGTTTTTGGTCAAGTAACTACGAGTAATCCTCTTTACACGTCGAGTAAATTGAATATTTTTGCATTTGAAGGGAATTTGCCACCAAATCAGTTGAACGGTTGAATATCTTTAAAAGGAGTCGTATATAAGGCGGCGCTCGTGATTTTTGCGCCAATTTTTTTGCAATAGTTGTCGCTAAAAGTACGGTAATTTTTTCTAAATTTTAAAAAAGGCATTACTCGCGAGGAACACATTCTAACTGAAACTATTGTGTATTAATTAAAAGTATAGTTTTTTTTATTGAACTAGAACTATTTAGGTGTTGGTTAAAAAGAAGTAAACGTTAATAGGTGGCTTCAATTAGTTTTTTTTAAAGTTGAGTTGTAAGATTACGAAGGCTGATATAAGATTCAACGCTTTTTGCAAAGTAACGTTAAGTTTAGAGTTTTTACGTCTATTATATTCAAGTCTGTTGTATAGTTTGCAAAATTAGATTCGTAGATTAAAAGAAGCAACCGATTTTTCAAACAATACCTTAAAAAAGCAGCCGACTTCAAGTAGCCACGAGTAAAGAAAGCACAAGACAAGAAATTAAAACCAACATAGAGACTCTAGATTGTATTATTGTATATTAGATAACTAGATTGTCATTTTACATTTTTATCTTAGATGTTATCAAGCACCGTTGTGATACTCATCAGTACGATCGGAAGCGTTTTGGTCTTGTTGTTGATCGAGTTATTTGCGACAAATCTTCTCATTTACATGTTTTACAACAGTTTGCTACCGCTAAGTGACTCGTTTTTGTTTATTTTTCTTCAAAGGTTAGCCGATTGGTTTGAAAATTTTTATTTATTTTAGTTTAATAATGGTATTCTGTTTGCGGAAACGAAAAGACAAGAAACGGGTCTCGAAAGTCTCCACTGTAAACGAATTTCGACCAGTGACGAGAGTTCGATGATAAAATTGTTTCAACTTTATACATAAAAAGAACAAAACTGCATCTAGGAATCATCTTGAAAGTTTTAGAGATTTTATTAACCCAAACAGACTATTTTGAATTGAAACAAAACCGTACCAGAAGATGTTTAGTCTGATGGGTAATTGTTTTCGGGCTGATCAAAAGAACAAATAACTAAAAGCTTCGATTACTGTAGGGCTTTCAGGCCTGAAAGCCTTACAGTAATCAAAGCTTTTCAGGCCTGAAAGCCTGAAAGACTTTGAATGTAAAATAGTCATTTAATACTAAGGTCTTAGACCTTAGTATTAAGTTCTAAGACCTAAGTACTTAGGTCTTAGACCCTAGTATAACCCGTAGTATATATAACCCGCCAGTTGATCTCTTGTACAAATCTCTTGTGATTTTAAAAATTATGAGCGACATATATACTTAATACAAGCATAGATATTTAATACATAATAATATTAGGTTGTCCAATAAGTAATGCGTGTTTTGACACGATTTTCAAAATATCACAAAATTAACAAAAGAGAACTTTATTAATCGATATATTCTCCACAACAATCAACAACATTTCTCCATCGTCCGAGCAAAGAGTGAAGTCCGTCATAATAGAATGAAGTTAGCTTCGTTATCAAAAACGACTGGCCTTCCAGCGCGTTCCTCGTCCTCTTGAACTTCGCATTGATTGTCGAGGTGAGGAATCTCGTAAATGGTAATGGCCAATCGGGTTCCGGTCCGGGACAATCTGCCCACTTTGCAAGTATGATTTTGTTTTCTTTAATTTAAATAATTAAATCTTCTTTTTAGCTATGCCAGCAGCAGCTTCCACCAGTGACTACATCCCTATTCTTCCAAAAGCAGGAGTGGTCAGCCGGGCCTCGGGATGTATTTTTGATTTTGAGAATTATGCATTCATCTTTTTCTTTCAGCTGCAGGCAACCTCTAGACACACCCACGCCACCAAAATCAACATCAGATGCGAAGAGGCTCAAATATTTTTTGTAAAAAATTTTTTGTCTTATAATAAAGGTGGTGGAGGCTTTTAAAAATTGTATCTTTGATTACCACAAAATTATATATAGAAGTTTCAAGTTTATACGGATACAAAACACAAAATTTGCTTGAATTCGTGCAACATATTGACAGTCGTTAATCATCTTAACTGATTTTGTGCTTGTCTGTCGTCAAAATTTAATTTTCATACAAAATTTTCGTCAAAGTCAGACCTATCTGATTACTGTAAGGCTTTCAGTACTGAAAGCCTTATGTTAAGAGAACCTTCGGTACCGAAGGCTCTTTTAACATAGGCCTTCTGTACCGAAAGCCCCCTTAACATAAGCCTTCGTTACTGAAGGCTCTCTTAACGAAGCCTTCGGTACTGAATGCTTTCTTAACATAAGCCTTCGGTACCGAAGGCTCTCTTAACATAGGCCTTCTGTACCGAAAGCCCCCTTAACATAAGCCTTCGTTACTGAAGGCTCTCTTAACGAAGCCTTCGGTACTGAAGGCTCTCTTAACGAAGCCTTCGGTACTGAAGGCTCTCTTAACATAAGACTTCGGTACCGAAGGCTCTTTTAACATAGGCCTTCTGTACCGAAGGCTCTTTTAACATAAGCCTTCGGTACCGAAGTCGCCCTTAACATAAGACTTCGATACCGAAGGGGTCCTTAACATAAGCCTTCGCTACCAAAGACTTATCTTAAGGAGGCCTTCGGTACCGAAAGCTTATGTTAAGGGAGCCTTCGGTACCGAAGGCTTATGTTAAGCCTTTTCAGCCCTGAAAGCCTTTCAGTACTGTATTGTTTGGGGTAACTTTTAGTACTGAAAATCTTTCAATACTGTATTGTTTAAGGATGGTATCATCTTCAATTATAGTATGGGGTAACTATAGTATGGGGTTACTAGAGTATGGGGTAACTATAGTATGGGGTTACTATAGTATGGGGTTACTAGAGTATGGGGTAACTATAGTATGGGGTAACTATAGTATGGGCTAACTATAGTATGGGGTTACTATAGTATGGGGTAACTATAATATGGGGTTACTATAGATGTAAAAGTATTCATCTTAGTATTTCTATAACGGGGATTACTCTTAGTAAAAGAGAGTGTTTTACTAAGAGTAATCCCACGGGGATTTCTCTTAGTAAAAAAGAGTGATTTACTAAGAGAAATCCCACAGGGATTACTGAAAGGCTTTCAGGCCTGAAAGCCTTTACCCCCATTGTCCCCAACTATAGTTACCCCCAACTTTAGTACTAAAGGAATTAGTACCTCTAGTACTAAGTTAACTCAAACTTAAGTTACCCCATAGAGGGGTAGAGATCTCATGGGGTAGACATCTCAACTATAGTTGGGGCTAACTATAGTTGGAAGTAACTTTAGTAGGGACAATGGGGGTAACTTAAAGGCTTAAGTATTAAAGGCTTTAGTACTAAAGTAGAGAGTCGGAGATTCACGACTCTTCTCTTTTGCTTCATTGCTTTTGCTTCTCTTTTGCTTCATTACTGTAAGGCTTTCAGACCTGAAAAGCTTTGATTACTGTAAGGCTTTCTGTTAAAGTTTTGGAGGTTTTTCTTAAGACCTAGCACAAATTTCTGAAAAAAATATAAGTGATTCTAGTGTAAAATCACCCTCAAAAATGGGCCCAAAAAATGGGCCAGTCCGCGCAATTAGTTAAAGATTTCGTCATTTTCTCTAACATCTTGCGCATTCGTTTTCTAAAAAGTGCACTTTTTGCTTCATTCTCTCCTTTTTCTCTCTGCGTCTCTCCACTTTTATATTTTTCTTTTCCTTTCATCTCATTCTCATTTTCATTCTCAGACACTTCATTTCCCTATTCCTTTTCATGTTTTAAATATGTTTTAACATATTTTACATATGTTTCCACATATTTTACATATCTTTTACCTATTTAATCGTTTTTTTTCCAGATATTCTTCATATCGATGGTTCGAATCAACCCAAATCGTGCGGCAGCAATGCGACGTTGTTCGACGAGCGAGGGAGGATTTGTGGTGGGTTTCCTTTTTTTATCTCTAGGTTCGTTCTCTATAGCACAGGCTGAGAAGGTTTAGATTTTTCTTGAATTTATATTTTACTTTCTCTTCATATTTTAGATCGGATTGCGGGCAAAAGTCGAAGAACTACGACGTGGCAAGGGAACCACCAAACGCCCGCTCATTGCCACGCCCTTCAAATCGAAAATTCGCTTCTACAAAATGATTGAGCACTTGGAGACGCCAATCGTCGACCATCTGATTGGTATGTTTTTGATTTCTTTGGTCTCTTTATCAATAGTTTCTTTCAGGCTGGAGATTTTGTTGCTTGGTAGCCAAGGACCTCCTGGAGCCCCTCCGACTTGCCATCTCCGAAGCCACCGCCGAGCGCCGCGATCGTGTGGAACACTGCAAGCCAATCATCGATGTGGGTTTTTTTTGTTGATCACTCATTTTATCTTTCATTTCAGGACTTCACTAACGATGCTGACGTGTGGGCTCGGCAGGATGTGTGGTTCTCCGGAGATGGCGCCCGAAAGCTTTAACATCTTGCGCGTGCGCAAAGTGTTAAAGAAAAGCCCGAAATCTTTATCACCCCTTTCTCTTTCTACCATAATCTTGTCTCCAATTTTTATGAGAGCTGGTCAAAACAGCGCCGTGTACAAACAGCGCTACGGCAAAAATAGTCCCTTCGCGATTAAGTTTCTATTCGTTTTCTTATTCTTTTTCTTATTGTTATTGCATGCAGAATAAAATTATCTACATTTTGCATACTTTGGGATCACTTAAAACAGAATTGGTGCAAGAAGAGCCCGGTTAACCTCTTTTTGAGCCCACTCTCGTTTTTTGGCATTTTTTTCATCCCAGATTTGTTCTAAACGGCTCTAAAAAATTCAGCAGATAGCTAATTTTTCTACATTTTTCTTATTCAATGAAAATAAGAAACACAAATAAACTTAACCGCAAATGTATCATTTTGGCCGGCGCTGTTTCTACACGGCGCTGTTTTGACCAGCTCTCATTTTTATCCAATCTATTTATTTTTGTCTGATTCTGTGAGAGTTCACAAAGGATATCGAAAGATATAAAAAGTGGATAGAATGGATAAAAATAGAGACAGGTTTACGGTAGAAAGAGAAAGAGAAAGTTGAACACATTTTTTAAAACGAGTAACAGATTTTATCAATTTTCCTCCTACTCACCAACCGTCCGACCGATCCGGATATCCAAACGGAGAAAATGCCGTGTTTCTTTAAATCTTCAAGAGTTTAGTTTCTCATAAAATTTCACAATTCTGATTTCTTTCCTTATAAAATTCTTGTTCCTATAAAGTGAAATCCACGATTTTTGTGGCAAAAAAAAGCCGATGTTTTATCATCTTTCAATCATTTTTTCTAAGCGCTGGTTAATGCTAAAAATATGTGCTATATCTCAAAAAAATCACCCATCTTCTCTACTTTAATTTAATACCCAAGCGTGCAGAAACAAACGTACTGGTGTCGAGATATGAGCGTTTGTTTGAGAGTAAACTTAGACTACGCGATGCTCATATAGGGGGCCTATTAGAGTATTTACGGTAGTTAAACATATGGTTCAAGTGTTTTACGGTACTTGTCATTTTAGGAAAAGTCCAAGGCCTGCCCTGCTCCTGTTGCTAAGACAAAGCTCAATGTTGGGTCTGCTCCCGTCGAGTTAATGTCTAAGGTGACACAGTCACCACTGGGAGGGCCATCGCAAATGGGAAAAGTGAAGACTCGAAGCAAAAGTAAGCCTTTTTAAGTTCCCTTAACATATTTCTTTAGTGAGCTCGATGATGATGCGCTTGAAACGCAAGAAGCCGCCACAGGGATCCAGGAACGTAAGTTCTTTGATGGTCTTTAACAACTTTAACAAAACAAAATAACAAAACAAGGTAAGTCTTTAACAACTCTCTTTAGCCCAATCTGCCTCCTACTACACAGCCAGCTAAGAAGAAGGGATGCATCATTGCCTAAACAACAACAACAATTCGGGACAACTCGCGTGGACTTGCACTTTTGGGAGAAACCTTTAAAAACTAATCGATTACTCTTGTAATAAACGTACTTGCATTTCCTTGTTCAATGACATAAATTGTTTTTGAATTTTAACATTACATTGGTTGTTCGGTGAGATTTGGCTTTATTGATTTTATTCAATCCTGGATCATTATCCAAATTAATGATATTCATACTTTTCAAAAAGAAATGCGAAAACACCTGACCGTATTATCGCAAACAAACTTATCATTATCGTAATACCAGTACCATATCGTGCCCCATTCTTACCCTACTTTCTACTTTATAAAATCTGCTCCGTAGTGTCATTATGTTGTCTTTTTACGCAACTTTTTTGACTGAATATCTTGCGTTTTATGAGAAATATGTAAACGGATAGGTGTTTATTTTCCTCAAAATTAATAGGCTTACAGAAATTAGAGTAAACTTTGCTACAAATATTCAAGATTTTTTTTAAAAGCTCAATTTCCTTAGATCCTTTCTTGAGAACACTGTGAACGGGTTTTTTTTTTGTTTTCTCTTTTCTTTTCGTCAGCTGCTGTGGTCACTTTTTGCGGCTGTGTCAAAACCGGTGTTCGGAGGGAAATCGCCGCAGTTTAATCTCGAATCACTATTGATCTTTTTTGAGTGTTTTTTTTTCAAAATGAAACTTCTTTTATTATTAACTCTATTCTCCGCAGTTTTCCTGATTTCTGTGATTTGCGCTGAAAATTCGACGAAAACAGAAGAAAACCCCGAGAAGGGAAAACTCGCATCAGCTTCATCGGAATCGTCTGAGGGTGAGTTAGAAATATATTTTAAAAAATGCTAGGTAATGCAATAAAGTAGGTAGAAGTTTTTTGTTTTAGTGTCTAAGGCATTGATAAAGAAATTCTTTGATAACAAAGATCAAGAGATTTTGAAAAGTATACCTAATTTATTGCATTACCATTAAAGTTTACAACTCTGCGTTTTTTCAAAGCTTTTTTGCGTTTTAGAACACTGCAAAAGCGCAGGAATCCGGAAAATATTAGATTTATATTTATTTATATAATAGTTAGGCCGGTAGGTAACTAAATAACTAAATGAGAATGTTTAGAGAAAACAGAGATAAGAAATATTGAAGCAATCAAATCATCAAATTCAACGTTGATTGTTTTGTGATTTCAACTTTGTAACTTTCAACAGATAAATAGTAAATCTATCAATTTTTAACTTTATAAAGCCATAAGTAGAATTCACAACGAAAAACTATTCAGAAAAATCGGCCGAAGAGTCGAAATCGTCGTCATCGGAGTCGAAATCGAAAGAATCGTCGGAATTGAGTGAGCAAGCCAAAAATGAAACAATTCTCGATAAGGGACAGACAAAGGATGAAAAGTTGAAAAAAGTTACGATTTAAAGGTTTTGTTTAACAATTTTTTCAAAACAAATTTTATTTCATGACGATAAACTGTGATTGAACTTTGGGAAATGATACAGATTCAGTGATAAACTTTAAAACTCATCAAAAATCTAAAGCAAGCCCTGAGCTGTGATGTGAAGTGTCAATAATTAGTGCATCGAGCCTTGATTTTTATGTTGAAACAAACGATTCGTAAGACTTTTTTTTTGTAAGTTTTGGCTGTTTGCTTTAAAACAAATTTATTGGCGTTAATTTTTTAATTTTCAACCAACTGGGGCTTGTCGTTGAACCACGAATTTCGGGATAGATTTCTGAAATTTCATTTACTTTTTCTAATAAGATTTCATTTCAAATTTCATTGAAATTCGATTGAAATTTCATTGAAATTTTATTTACTATTTCTATTTCAATTTTCGAAACCTTTAGAGCAGCAGGTTGCTTCTGGGAGACTGGTTGTTGGACTTGAACCATTCTTGGCATTATTTGAGCCGCCACTCGCACTTTCGGGTGGGTTAATGGGTTGATTTTGGCTGAAAGTCGACTTGTTGCCGTTTTCCAGTAAAAACTGATTTGAAATTTGTTCTTGATTCACTTCGAAAGTAAACTAAACCCACGACATGATGCCGGGGTGACACAGCGACCGGAAATCGGGCACCGAACGTAGCCCTTGCAACATTGACAAGCCGGCGTCTTGCACACCATTGGGCAGATCTGCAATTTTATTGTAACTATTGGAATTTCATTTGATGATAAGTTTTAAGGTACCTTGAGTACAGTAGAATCTAAAAACCTACCGGATTCAAGTTAGTGCAAGTGGCCTCACACGTTGGACAACTGTTCCAATCCTCGTTCGGCGGGCACGAGTTCTTCGCTAGAAATATAATGCAGTGATTCAAATGTTGTACTACTTGTTGCGTAATCTCAGTTCTATTTTTCGATTTGAAACTCACGACACAGTGACGCGCAAATGCATCGCCCACTGATCGGGCACCGAACGAAGCCCGGCTTGCATTCGCATTTCGCTTGTTGACAATTCGGGACGCAATTCTAGATTAGGTACATGAGATCTTTCGATAAAAGTACAAAGGTCTTTCGACTAATTTCTCCTGATTCCAGGGCTGGTCCTCAAGGTCATAAGCCTGACCTGACCCACAAAACTTTGCAGGGTTAAGTCAAACTATGAGAAGCCATTATAGGCAAGTATGGCCCGACCCTGGCGCCTGGAAGTGCCCCTGGAAGCTCTGGCTAACTTCTAATACGATTTCTAATTCAAAACTGTAAAAATCTTGAAGTTTGATAAACTAACCGGACGCCCGTCCGGGAAAGCGCACGTCGCCTCACAGCCACTGCATCGTTTCAGCATCTCGTTCTCGCAACATGTCGGCGTGGCAGCTAGAATAATATGCTAATTTACAGTTTTTTTTAATTAAGGAGTTTTTTTCTAGAAGATGTCCTTAAGAAATTACTTGTTGGAGTTTCGGAAGTTCGAGCATTGCGTGCCGTTGTTGGAGTTCCAGGAGTGCGTGCTTTTGTTGTAGTTCCGGGAGTGCCTGCCGCTGTTGTAGTTCCGAGAGTTCCAGAAGTGCGTGCTGTTGTTGAAGTTCCAGGAGTTCCAGGAGTGCGTGCTTTTGTTGTAGTTCCGGCAGTTTCAGGAGTGCGTGCTGTTGTTGGAGTTCTAGGGGTTGTTGGATTTCCGCGAGTGCCAGATGTTGTTGGTGTTCCAGGAGTGCGTGCTGTTGTTGTAGTGCCAGGAGTTCCAGAAGTGCGTGCTGTCGTTGGAGTTCCAGAAGTGCGTGCTTTTGTTGTAGTTCCAGGAGTTTCAGGGGAGCGTGCTGTTGTTGGAGTTCCAGGAGTTCCAGGAGCGCGTGCTTTTGTTGTCGTTCCGGGAGTCCCAGGAGTGTGTGCTGTTGTTGGATTTCCGTGAGTGCCAGATGTTGTTGGTGTTCCAGGAGTCCCAGGAGTGCGTGCTGTGGTTGGAGCTCTAGGAATTGTTGGGTTTTCGGGAGTGCCAGGCGTTGTGGGTCTCCCAGAAGTGCGAGCTGTTGTTGTAGTCCCAGGAGCTCTAGAGGTTGTTGGATTTCCGGGAGTGCCGGGCGTGCCACTTGTGCCTGTTTCAGTTGTTCTGGTTCCAGTTGATCCAGTCAACCATGTAGTCGAGCCTGTTGGCTTGTGTGTCGTTGTTGAGCCTGTAATTACTTAATTAGTCAACTTTCTAGCACTCATCACATAGCAACAACTTACTACATTGGCCTGACGGAATGCATTGACGAGTCTGTTTGTCACGCACGTAGCCCTCTTTACAAGCACAAATGTTTTCATTTGGACATAGTCGTTGTATAGGCTAAACATGTCAATAGAGGTGGTTCAAAAGCCAAATCTATATCAAACATTGGAATTTTTAACATTACCTTGTCTTTTGTTACACAGGTATCTTCACACATACTTAGCGCTTCGTTCGGGCCACACTTCAAGTGACATATTGGTTTGGCAAAGGTGCTGCCAGGCTAAAAACATTTCATTGCACGCTTGAATAATTTCTCATACAAAATCTAAGATTGTTCATAAATACTATCCATAAATAAATACAATAAGATTAGTAGGCAATAGCCACTGCATCGTTTTACATAAGATACAAAAGACTTACATAAGATACAAAAGACACACGACACATAAGAAAAGCTCACCTCCATATAGCATTCTTGGCCCGGGTCACAAGCCATACAGCTACAATCGTTGCATGGTGGTCCTGCATTATAACCATATCCGCCATCGCCGCTCGATCCCCCACTGCCACTAGATCCCACATTCAAAAGATCTCCCCACGACACCGCAGAAACAACAGTGATGTAAATTAACTAAAAAAGTAAAGCCAAAAAGTAAAGCCATTTTACACAAAAAACTTACAAAAACTGTGTAACTTCTTAACATCATCAATTAGTCAAACGTGTTTTGCAGTATTCTCGTCGCCTTTTTATTCGCGCCCACTCAAATTTGCATAATTTCCCGACGTTCACACCGATAAAAACGCATCGAAATCTGAAAGTTTCCCAAGTTTTATGCTTAATTAATGCCAATTACGCGTGCGTCTAATGTTGTCACGAAAAAGGAAATTTTTTATGATTTTCGTTAAGCGTTTTCTTCTGGGAATTTGTGAATCGTTTTTCGGCATTATAAGCAATCATTATGAGCAACGATTTTTGATCGAGACGGGCGTGGCATACAAACATTACGCTAATGTGTGGGTGGAAGTGTTTTCAAGTCGGTGATCGATGAAACATTGGAAACATCGAATTGAATCGAATTGAATCGAATTGAATCGAATTGAATCGAATTGAATCGAATTGAATCGAACTCAGATTAAATTGAATCGAATTCAGATCGAATCCATCGAATCCAGATCCACTTGAATCCAATCCAGATCCACTTGAATCCAATCCTGATCCACTTGAATCAAATCCAGCTCATTTGAATCCAATCCAGATCCACTTGAATCCAATCCAGATCCACTTGAATCCAATCCAGATCCACTTGAATCAAATCCAGCTCACTTGAATCCAATCCAGATCCACTTGAATCCAATCCAGATCCACTTGAATCAAATCCAGCTCACTTGAATCCAATCCAGATCCACTTGAATCCAATCCAGATCCACTTGAATCAAATCCAGCTCACTTGAATCGAATCCAGCTCACTTGAATCTAATCCAGCTCCCTTGAATCAAATTCAGATCAAATTTCTAGAGCACAAACTAAAATCATAACCATAAGCTGTTGATCTGAACAATCAACGTTCACATACTAACTCAAAATTCGATTTAAAAGCAAGAATATATTTAAAGTTTAACACACTTTACTTGCATTTGCATTGTATTACTTACAGAAGTTGACCTTTTAGAGCTTCTTTTGAACCATCTTTTAGTTCCCACCTGATTTCACCGTCAAAGTGACGAATCATCTCAAAAGTTTCCAAGACTCGCTGTAAAAACGATCATTTTTAGATTGTACACAAAAAAAAGACGACGAGCACAATGGGGAATCTCACGCAAGAAATCTTAACCAAATAGGGTCGCCTTTGTTGTGGTGAGGCTTTGTGTACACAACTTGATAACTCGCAGATATAAGCTCTTTTTTTAGGCTCTCGCAGATATTCTATTAAAGCTCTTTCTATTAAAATATCACAAAATGTCCCTCAGACATTTAGTCTGCTTATTCTCATTGCTTTGCTTGATTGAGGTAAATCTTAAAGCTTTTTTTTAAAGTTTTCAACATTTAGGCAAGATCGCTGTTAAAGTCAAAGCAACGAGCACCCGCTGATAGTAAAGTTAGTGCTTTATAATAAAGAAAGAATTGGTTCTTTGTTCAGGTTTTTGTTTTGTTACGCACCACAATGCCCTACGATCAAACGCAAGGAGTCGGCTTCATTCAGGCGGTGAAGGGAGGAGTGAGTGGCAAAGAACGATTTGCTAAGAACTCCATAACGATATCGGGCCAAACTTTTAAGCACATCTCTATAAACTTGCTGTTAAGCAATAAAGAAAAGTAAGGATTGATCTCGTTATAGACAGGAATGGAAGCTGGCCACTGGCCCAAATCAGAAGTTGGTCAAGCCAGCTCAACTCTTGATTGATCTGGGGCTGATCTGACTTGCTCCAAGCTAGGTTTAGTACTAAAATATCACACAATGTACAAAAATTTGACCTAGAACTGATCCTGACTTATAACTGACCCTAGTAATAAGTATAGTCTAGTCCGTAACGAGCCCAAAAGTTTTTACCGATAAAGCTCTTTGCTATATCATGTACTCGTTGTGCCTCTGTGGAAGTATTCCTGGTTTTGGACTCGTACTGATAAGTAGCCATTGAGCGAGTCTAGTAAAACGTCTAGCAAAACGTTCTAGTAAACGTTTACCTCTAGTTAACAAGCTCAAAACTAAACCAAGACACTGAACCAAACCTTTCTATTTAGTTAACTTCAGCAGCAAAAAGCGGCAAAGTGAAGGTGGATCGGATTGAGGTTGGTTGATGGGGTTGGCATCATTTTGCCTTTGGTTTATGAGTGAAAGCTATAAATCGTTTAAGAATAAAAGATTTCACACAAGAATAAAAGATTTCACACAAGAATAAAAGATTTCACACAAGAATAAAAGATTTCACACAAGAATAAAAGATTTCACGCTTCTCTTCCAGGCTGTCAACTTGAGCGGAGCAATGACAGCCAAACTCGGCGTTTCCATTAACGACAAAGTTTCTTGTACACAAGTTGAGAAATTTGCAAGAAATGCTGTCAAACAGAACATGGCCGTGAGTTTCATTTAACACATTTACAACTTAGAAACTCTAAAAATCAACTTACAACTTAGAAACACTTAGAAAAACCTTTTTAAACTCTAAAAATCTATTTTAACTTTAGCTGCACTCTGCAATCATCACCTGTCGAAACGAGAAACCGAAACGAATTCTCCGTGGAAAGATCTAGAAATTAAAAGCCGATTCTTTTTGTCTAGATCAGGGCTTTGTTTGATTTTGCTTATGAATGCCAAAAATAAACCGTTCAACTGAAGTCAATCAGTACACAAAATCAGTACAAATCAGTTCATACCACAAAAGCTAGTAAAAAAAACTACAATGATTCACACAAATAACGTGGTACAAACAATACAAAAACACGACCCCTAAGCCCTTTACAAGACTTCAAAAGTGTTTCTGTGACTTTAGTGGTGCTCTTTTTTCACTAATTTTTGTAATTCTGTTTTTCTCCGAGAATTCAGACGATTCTTTATTTACATATAAAATGGAGATCATAACAAAATAAGAGTTAATAAATAAATAAAGATATGCACTAAAGGGGAGTGAGTGGTGGATAGAGATAGATTGCTGGATTTGAAAACGGGAATTATCGGTTTGGTGAGATCATCGTTTTGCAGTTTTCAAGTGAAATGAAGTGATAGAATGCGATCTTCGAGGATTCGATGGTGATTCTAAAAATCGTGTTTCATTTTTAGCAATTACAAATCGAAATGAACTGGGACAGTTGGACTTTCTCTTTCTCTTTCTACCCTAATATTATCTCTAATTTATCTACTTTTTGTCTGTGAGAGTTCACAAAGGATATCGAAAGATACAAGAACTAGATAGATTCGATCAAAATAGAGACAAGATTACAGTAGAAAGAGAAAGGGGACACTTGTTAACCAACATTGGAGTCTACTGTCCACTACAATAAGTTAAAAGACAAGATTAGGCTATCAATTTCAATGAGTTACCTGGATTAGCCGAAATCTCACTTCACAAGGCCCAATCGGGAACCGTTGGAATGATTGGATCTTCGTAGGGTTGAGTCGATGAAGAGATCATTCTTCAGGTTTTGTTTAGAATCTGAAATTATTGCTCATTAGTTTGTTAAGATCAACAACCGTTAATAACCAATATTAGTCAAGTAAAGCTAAGCCTACGATTGCCTACAACAAGATATTCAGTCAAGTGGAGGAAAGGTCATGGAGTTATTCAAAAGATATTCTGTTAAAGATATTCATTTGAACCAGTGAAGCACTCTGAAAATAGGCTAGTTCCCCATTTCCTTATATAGAGATAAATCACGAAAAAACTTACACAAGGCACACAAAATGCAAGAGAAACCCACTTACGCAAGGGAAATCCTCATTTTTCTCTGATCTTTTCATCTTTCGCACTTTTCCGTTTTTCTCACCTTTCTTCAATCTTTTCGTTTTCTCAGCGATCTCTTCGCTTTTCAGCATATTTCCAGAGTTGATACGTATCGATACGGTTCGACACATGTATTGCTTAGGCTAGTCTTTTCATGAGACAAATTGTATTTTGTATGGAAATTTGTAGATGAACCCATCACAATGCAATCGAGGCTAAAATCGCACTTTCAAGCAAAAGCGTTTCAAACAATAAAATCATCATAAAAAGATCATCTTAAAAAAGTATTTGAATCGAATTTTGAACAAATAACGGGAAAAATTCAGATCTCTTTCAGATTTTCATAGTTATTCCCAAAAAAAAACCACCCATTAACTTTCCAGACAATGCTTGAACTTCATTTCCCTTGAAACTCACGAATTTCAAAAACGTTCAGTATTTTTCAGTATTTGTTAAAAAGTACTAGAATAAACAATCCCTTTAAAATTTGACTGTGAACAAATAAAATTGATCGTCTTTTCTAAATGAGAAGATGCCCACACCATCCTCATACTTCTACTCAAGCTCGGTCCAGTTTGAAACTTTAATTTTGTGAACATTTAAATCGTGTGACTGCCAGCATTCACATCATTTCTCTCATTTAAAACTTTATTTAACATTGATAACATTTACCAAACTGCCGTTGAGAATCATGGAAGCTAAACGTTCTCGTCAGTTCCTAAAAGAAGCTCTTTTCCCATTTCTTGTCAGCATTTTGTTGTAACTCATTTTCATCGAAAAGCTTTCAATTCATCTGTCGTAACGCAAAGAATTCGGCAAATACAAACTCTTTGCGCCAATTTTAAAATGTTTTACGCAACACGATGACAATTCATTTCTTTTGCAAGGGAAAGAATTAGATGCAAATTCGAATATTCGTTGCGCCAATTTTTAAATTTTCTACCCAACACGATTGATGATTTCTTTTGTAAGTTTGGGTTGAAATGTACTGCTTTTGACTGGAAAAAGACTGGAAAAAGAGAGGCTTTTTCAGCTGTTTATCACCAAAAATGACCAGCT